AAGAAGCCAGACGGTTACAGGACGAAAAGATGGCACGAGCAGCTGCGCAGAAGGAAGAAGTATGTTCTTTACTTGGCTCGCTTATAGCATTACTCTTTATCTTTCTTCGTTTCAGTCAGCTGTATCAACACTTCTTTTACTCCCTTTACAGTGTTATTTTTCAGTACTGTCTCGCTAATTGTACTTTTGAGGCTTTATAAAGTGATTTGTAGCGTCTTCAAAAGCAAAGGGAATTGCAACAGAAAGAAGCTCAGAGAATGCAAGCCGTGCAGCAACGTCGCAATGCAGCGCTTGCGGAAGAAAAGATTAAAAAAGCGGTTAGCCCTCAGGATGTTAAATTTTAAAAAATTACATTGTGAGTGGTACTAAAGAGAGAACACGGATAATGGCAAGTAGTTTAGTCGGTTTATTAGTTATATGAAATAGTAATCTGCCGAAATGGCTTAATTAATCTAGTATATTGGTTATTTTGAATTGTGAGAATTAGTTTTGAGGCTGCCATTGCTAAGGCAGAACAAGCAGCTACTCGACACCCTATTCAACAAAAAACCCGATCTTTATATGCGTTTGGAAGCAGCACACCTCGTGAACTGGGCTACTTAACACAGCTATCGAAACAGCAACAGGTTAGTCTTACTGTAGCTTTGAGTAATGGCGCAACTGTGAGAAGACTTTGCAGCAGAAGACTTATCGGTGTTGACTGAAATTTTTTATTTGCGTAACTTTTTTCTGAAAGATTTCAGGTTTATGACCGAAAACTACAGCCTTCTTCTGGAGGAGTCAGTTCACCTGCATTGAATTCTAATCGACGTTTGTCATCAACTACTAGGGCTGCTCAGATGACAAGAAGTATGTACTTACCAGGAAGTGATTATGGACGACGTAGCAACGGTAGATCTCTACCTATTGCAATGACAAGATCTGTTTACTCACCCCAGCAAGTGCCTAAGAACTCTTTAGTGACTTCCCAAAGATATGCAGGTTACTATTTTTTTACAACAATTGAATGATTCCATTTCCTTTTTCAACAGTTTTTGATGTTCTTCTTTATCTGGCAAATTTCCTTATTAAGTTTCAGCAGTTAAAGATGCAGTCAAGCATAGACCATTTACCACACCTACTAGTAATGTGAGTGAACGCGGTGATATAAAATCTTCCGTAGCGGGCTTGGTAACAAAAATCACGAAGAATATGCAACACAAGTACGCAACTAGATATATAAGACATCTTCTAAAAATAGTGAAGATCTGTGCTTGGGTAAAATCTGTCTCCAGTAGAAGAATTCTTTTTTTGTGTTTGCTAGCATTTTGTTCATTCATTAGTACAGTAAGATTTAACGTTATTGGCTACAGTTCTGTTGTATTTTAGGAAAGGCACTAGTAAAGCTGCTGATGAGTTTGAGAGGAGTAAGGTAATCAGAAGACACAATGGGCATAACAGACCTTTAGAGGACAATGCTCAGACGCATGGAGCAAAGAGCAGTACTGCGTTTGTGAATGGTGGCATTACTGCAGAAGGGGGACAGACGACTTCAGACCAGCAACAAAATATGTTAATTATGGGTTCGACAGACCGTAAACGAAAATTAAAGAATCCTTTAGATATTGCTCAGAATAAAGAAGTTTCAAAGGTAAATGTACCATTCTTTATATATTTTCAAGACTGTAGTTTTTGTTGCATGACTACCATTTAAACTTTTTGCAACTTCACTCGTTGTGGAATAGTGTATATGGTGCAACTTGCAAAAGGC